TTCTTCACATTTAAGATGAAAATGTATATACTGTTTTTCACAGTGGATTTTCTATTTCACAATTTTTTAAATTGCTGACAATATGGTAAAAACAGTAGAAGACATAACATCACATTAATGTTGTAATGCCAAATATCTATTTTTCACGATTATTATTTTTGGGTAGATGAATCCTTTTAGTGCTGCTTGGTGTAACTATGCTGTTCATAGTCTCACAACATGATAAATTATGAATGGAAATCCACGCAAGGCAGTATCAGCTTAGTAATGACTAAGTTTAAAAAATGTTATAGCTGAGCTGGTTTCTCTCAGCGCAGCGAAAGACTGTGTATGGGTTGCAGGATTATTGGGTCTTTGACGGGGAAAAGCACAGTGTGTTATAGCTGATGAAACATTCATGGTTACAGCAACCTGACAAAAAGTGTGTGTGGTTTCACCAGGATTATTAAATCACTGGTGGCAAGGCTATGCTGTTCTGATATGAATATCAAGAGTGGCATCTACTTTGCATCAGCACCTTGGAAAATGGTTTGGAAGAAAGTGCTGATCTGAGTCCACAGGGACTCTGCAATGGCCAGTGGTAAGGGTTTGTGACGATTGCGTGGTGGCTACAGCAGAGCTTTAAGGCGACCTCCATTATACCTAAGTAAGGTTTAGTCCGAATACAAATGGAGGCCTAATAAAAGATAAATTAGGGTGAAACCAATTGTGCATTCATTGATCTCTGATTCTCATTAACCCATTTTAGAAATGTCCTTCTTGGAGGATGGCGAGGGAATTGTTGCCCTGGAATTCAAGTGAAGCACCATGTAGTGTTTCAACGTCATTAATATCTACAAATAGGGCACGTAGCAGGTTTTTAAAATAATAAGGTGAATGAAACAGTTGCTGTATTTCGGTTTAAATATGTTACCATGTACAAATGAAGTCAACAAAGTCAGACTTATTTTACTTAGCGGTCATCCCTCATGTGTTCAATATAGTAAAAATTACTTTCAGCGCTGCATTTGATTTTATTATTGTCATTACTTTAATAATCTGTCCACTTTGTTAAGATCACTTGATTAATCATTTAGTCTATAAAATGTTAGAAGATAGTGAAAAATGCCCAGTAGCCTACAGTTTTGAAGAGCCCATCATAAGGTCTTCACACAAAGATATTCAATATATAATCATTATAAAATCAATATATAATCATATAAAAATACCAAAGAAAGGAAAAGAAGCACATCCACACATTAGATGACATGGAAACAGCTTAATATTTGGCATTTGTCTTCAATAAATCACTTAATAAGTCATAGACATATTATTTTCTGTCAATTTAGAACTTGTTGCAGGACAAATTGCTTGATAATGATATAAAACACTGGTGTAGAGCCTTTGTTTTAACACATTGGGTTTTTGTTGTTGTTGCTGATCTCAGTACAAGGGAGATGACCCTCTTCCCTCTGTACCCATTCCTTCTTAAGCTCTGAGTGCTGTATCCATAATGATCCCTGTTGGATCAATCCATCAATGACTTGTGGTCACTGCCTGCTTTCTTCAGTTCTTGTTTCCACAAGCAAGAACTAAAATCTTAACAAGGTGCATAGGTCATATGTTCTGCTGTAATGAGTCATACACCTGTTAATGAAAGTCACATAACAATGTTAATCTGGGCAGCTGCTCAAGCTGAGCGCTCACTTCAAGTATCCAAGGAGAATGCATGTCTGTGTTTCTAAAAATGGATGGAAAATGTGTAGGGTGTGTTCTGGGAGTTGTGTGTGCACACATCCCTGAATATGCACAGATGCAGATTTGTATTGACTAACTTCTCAGGCCCTGAGGAGGAGACACAGGTTTCTAAATTGGTCTTCACCACCCCCATATGAAATTCTGCACGGGAGAGATCCTGCTGGGTGGATGACTTACAATGATCAAGCAGATGACTTATCTTGAGTCGATGCTCTCCCTCTGGTGTTTCCTGTTGTCAGCTCACACATGATCTGTTACAAGTCATGCCTGGTGTGTTCGTAGACAACATTGTGTGGTTGCTTGCACAGTTCCTGGGGACCACTTTACAGAGCGACACGTCACTCTGTTGGCTTCGTGACATTATGGAAGAAAAAAAACAAAAAACAGATGGATATCTGCTGCTCTCAAGAGAGGAACCCACCACCTGACTGAATCATCTCACATGGGAGGAAAACAGGATGAATGTTCCACCGAGTCACAGATGACGCAGATTAGTTGCATTTATAATCTCAGCAGCGCAGAGGATGACAGTCTGAGGGTCACAGTGGTGTCATTACTGCAGTATAACAAGGATCAATATGACATTTTTCGCAAGACAGTCCCTTATAATTGGCCTTAGGTTCATATTTGAATATGTACACTTAAAGCCCTTTGAGATGTAAACCCTCTCTGGCAGTACAGTAGATGAAACCAAGCAGTATTTCTCTATGTCTCAGGCTTCGAAGCCTATGCTTACAGTTCTTTATGAGAAAAGAGTGGATGTGATTATTCAGACAATCTCCTGAATGCTAATTGGATTGTCACCTCAGCAAAGAGTCCACTTGTGTGATGCAGAAACATCTTTCCCCAGCACCAGAGAGCCCTGACTTGTCTGAATCAGTGATTACCCAGCCCGAGTCTGAATGGCCCCTCCCATCTGTGTCTCTCCATGCACCTCTCCAGGACAATCGTGTTAGACAAAAGTGGGATAATTAATTTTGGCAAGTGAAGGAGGGCTAAGCTTGAGAGCCTCAGTGTACACAATATATACTATACAGTCGGAGTAATGTCTGAGCCGACAGATTGCTGCTGAAAAGTGGGAACAAAGACAAAAGCTCCCTGAAGACTGTGTTTTGCTCCTGTTGGCTGGATGCAGCAGCAGCATCAGAGGGAAAGCCCACACCCAGAGTGGCTATTGATAGCACAGCGAATTTGTTGTTATTCTGTGAATCCTGCAGGCAGTGCAGCAACAGATTAGAGCCCAAAAGGTATGTACCCTAACGTTACGCAGCATAATACGAGCAGCTGAAAGGGGGAGACAGTGTCGCACCCCTCCCCTCCACTCCCTCTTTCACTTTCTCCAAGGTTCTATAGTGCGAGGTTTTACTGCTGTGAAAAGCTGAGGACAAGTGAAACTTATTGATTTTCCTTTTAGTATTATCATTATGCATTCCTTACTGTATCTCTCTCAATCTCTCTGACACTGTGCCGGCACTTTCCTCATCCTGCACCATCACAGTTCTCCATATTTGAGGCTCCAGAGAAGCTTTTTGTTCCTCTTGTTGCTCCTTTTCGGAGCCTGCTGGTCTTCTCTGACTGCTGGTACTTCCCCTCAGGACATACACTGCCGTATTCCCCCAGCGTCTGGCTGGAGTGTCCCTCCATGTATTGTCTGGCAGATACTTGGAGCAGCTCTAAGTCAGCTGCACAGTGGCACGCGCACATACACACACACACACACACACACACAGACTCAGCAGACTTGCCCGTAGGCACTCGCCTCAGTGATTTCTGTTGACATCTTTGTATCATCTTTTCCATGTCACTCTGAGGTTAGATTACATTGTTGATGCATCATATGGACAGGGCTTTGGTAGCAGCTGACAGCTCACTGTTTCCCTCTGTCATCATTAACACTTGGATGTGTTGTCGGCCTGTTTTTCGCACTATGTACACAAATGACTACAAGAGCTCATCTCTTGTCATCGTGTACTTTAAACACTCCGATGACACACGCCTTTCTTCAACTCCTCCTCAGCGACAGTGACTGCAAACAATCCAGTCTCGATGTTGCCGCATGGAGTGACGATAACTTCCTGCGGATCTTAAAAACTGTTCATCAGCCTCCCCATCACACCCGACCACACTCTCAGTCCACCCAGCATCCCTGGAGAAGGAGTATATATTGTTGAGAACTGTAAATACACAGAGATCACTTCGGATAAAAACCTCAGCTTCAACCAACACACTGTGAACAATCAGAAACGCTGGAGACAAAGACTCTTAGTCATCCCTGTCAGTAGAAGCTCTCCCCCTCCTCCTCCTCCTATATATAATAATTAACCTCCTCCTCCTGCTATATGGAACCATCTGCTTCTTTGAAATGTGTAGACTCACAGTTTCCTCACAGTTTCACTTACAGCTGCTAAAATAATTGGCTTTACCACCCCCAATTTGTGCAACCTTATCTCCTCAGGCCTTTTGTAGAAAGCGCACATGAATTGAAATGACCCCGAGCACCTTCATTCACTGTGGTCACAAATGTGCAGGAGGTCTCGCTTTGTCATCAGCTTTTTTTTTTTCACCCCATTGCCTTACGAACACAAAGCAACTCTATTCATGTTAGAACCACTGTATGTCGCTATAGTTTAGGCTCATATTTTACAGATCCATTGTCTTGGTGTGTCACGTCTTGGCAATGTTTTCTCTGTGTCCATTTACTGGTTAAATATGTCTGTGGAGAGAATTTGATAAAACAGGCTTGGCAAGAGGAGATGGCACTGATTAGGCTGTAAAACTGGCACTAGGAAATGTGCTTACATTTCCACTGGTAGCTGATATTTTGTTGCTATTTCAGTTGTGGTATGTAAATTCATAGGAAGCAAGAAGGGAAGGGGAAAAAGTGATTATTACTTTTCTGGAAACTGTAATAGATTTTTCTTTATTTGCAGTAGTTGTTTGGCTCATGGTGGTCACCAATGGGAGGTCATCATTAGATACCTTTCATTTAGCTTTACATCAATGAGACAATTAAAGGAAGTGTATCTGGTGACTTGCCAATTTAAGGCCAGCACTGTCCGTGGAGGCCGTTAAAACAGTGCTGCATAAGCATGAGACAAGGACGGAGGATAGCTGTGAGTGTCGACTCAAAACACATAAGTCATTCCTACCCAAATTAAGAACTCTAAATACAGAGTTGGCATCTTTTTATGACATCAGTTAAAGTTTGTTTTACTGTTTCATGCTGAATAAATCTCTGTCTTTTTCTTTCTGTCCACCTGCAGACTGCGATAGCGCAGCATGACGGACACGGTGATGAGCAGCAGCTCGGATCGCTGGATGTCCAACGACAGGCAGAGGAAAATGCACGCTAGGTAAAGCATGATTGTCAGAACTTTTTTTTTTTTGTTGTGTTAACCGTTTGTGATGGACACATCGACGCTAAACTGTGCCCTCCTGTCTTTCTCTTTCTCCTGCATCTCTGTGATGTGTGATCTGTGACACAGTGAAAAAGAGCAGTAAGTAGATCAACTCCCACTCCACCACCTCTTATCCTCATTGTGTGTCTCTGCTCTGTAACTGTTCAGAGAGCAGTGTGATGTGTTGACGCTGTAAATGCATGTTCATTCATTCGCTGCGTTCGCTCTGCTTGTTCAAACACAGATTGTGAAGTGCTTATGCAAATGTGCAATTGGATATCATTCATATCATCAATCACAGAGGTAGTGTAATCTCAACTGGAGAATATGTTGACTGACAGGGGCAACTGGACCATGCAGCCTGGCTCTGGTTCTGGTCCAGACCTGACAGATGAAGAGAAAGAGATTATAAACAATGTGATCGCCCGTGCTGAGAAAATGGAGGCCATGGAGCAGGAGAGAATTGGGTAAGAGACTGTAAAACATGCAGTGGTTTCCCACAATATGTGTATATGAAAACAGAATTGCCTGTTGAGACTGATGACACGCACACATTTGGACCTGAGATAATTAACGGTCACATTTTAAGTAAGATTTCATCCTGTGCTGCTTGCAGGCGCTTGATAAACCGCCTGGACGACATGAAGAAGACTGTGTGTGGGGATGGAGTGTCCCGCTGTTTGGTGTGTGGGGAGCAGCTGGGCTCACCTGGGGTCAGCTCAGTGGTGTGTGAGGACTGCAAAAAGGTAGGTAATGAATCAGCCAATTATAACAAGGGAAACGCAAATATACTCCTCTGCTGCAATTCAGAACACAATAGGTCAAATCTTTATTTTCTCCTGTCGTGCAGAGCATGTGTACCAAGTGTGGTACACAGTGTAGCAGTCGGCCACGCGCCGTGTGGCTTTGCAAGATCTGCAGAGAACAGCGAGAGGTGAGTGATTTACACCAGTGAACAAGTAACAGAATTCAATTGTTGGAAAATCCAGTAACACTTTCTTTTTCTTCTGTTTTGTCAGGTGTGGAAGAGGTCTGGTGCCTGGTTCTTCAAAGGTTTTCCCAAGCATTTCCTGCCATCACCCATGCCATTATCTAAACCGAGCAAGACGGGTGCGGCAGAGCCCCAGGGGCCTCCAGCCTCTGAGCCCAGGGAGGCGGTAACCCAACCACAAGCAGCAGGTAGACACAGCTGAGATCTGCCCCTTCAGAGTTACTCTGCAGTCTTTTTCAGTTTTTCACATGAGGCGACAGGCAGGTGCTCATCACCATTTTCGATTAACCTGTTTAGACTGTCGTCACAGACAATTAGTTTACAGCATGTCTCTCATAGGTCACAGTCAGAGTCAGGTTGCTGCATCTGGGCAACTAGATTCAGGCAAGTTTTTAGTATCTAGAAATCTCTAAACAGGGATCTGCTGAACTACCGAACTGCATCTGAGACTTCAGTTTCTCAGCAGTGCTGCCTGTTGTGATTTAAAATTGAACTGAAATTATAATTCAACTCACTTTTTGTGTGAGGAAATAAACTAAATACTACAGCTACTGTGCATATTTTTCAAAACAGGATACTTTTCAGCAAGGGATAAAACCAGATTAGGACATATTATGGAAATAGCATCTAAGCTGCAAGCCTCTGGGTGGGCGTTTCCCCCCTGGCAGACTAACATCTGACGAGAGGAGAACGTTATATTGTATAAACTACAAACATTAATACAAGGAGCATTTTTTCCCACTTTTTCCCCTTTGTCAAGTCCACATGGTTTTGACTGTTAGTGATTTAAGCATTCAGCATTTTGGAAGTCCCATCATGCTGTTAAGGTTGTATACAATTTATAATATTGTATCTGCATTTCTTCATATAATCACAATTTTGACCATAAAAGTATTCACATCAAAACAAACACCAGGGATATATATGTATATATATATATATATATTTCATTTCAGTCTGACTATTTTTCAAAGGGCCTCCTCTTCACACTCATTAGATCAGCATCTGTACACTTCTTAGTCTTTTGGCAATCCCGCCTCTCATTGCTCTTTTCCCAAGCATCAAACCTTTTATCAGCTTCCCAAATTTGGCAGTACCGCCCACTGGCGCAGTGGAGGGGGGTGAAGACCTCAATTAAGCTGTCGGAAGGTGCATGCTGTGACATGGGATGAGCCTCCAGGTGGTGCTGGCATGATGGGTCACATTGTATCATTTCGCACTTTCAGCGTGATTACCTGTGCAATGTGATTTGCCCATGAAACATAGGGGTAGCTTTGGCGTACAGGCACCATATAGCTGCTGCATGTACAGTAGTCGGCCACCACAGCTTGTTGTAATGTATGTAGGTCAATGCCTTCGCAACGAAAAAGCTGCAACATCAAAAGTATGCAGAGGGACTAGGGAGTATTACAGATTCCACTGCAGTAGGAGCCTGAAGTGGTGTGATTATGCGTGTCTCCCTTATGTATAGCGTATGTCTGCATGTTTACTGTACGACGCTATTCATACTTATTTTTAGGACCAGAGCCACTGGGCCGTGCTGGTTACCCACCTGTGGCCCCTAAACCATCAGCTGTGTGCATGGCCACTGGGGGGGCTGGCCCTCAAGAGGCGGGTCAGGGCAGCCCAGTGGTGATGAAGAAGATGGTTCCTGTCCAGAGCTCCAGACCGCAGCCTGCCGCCACCATGGCCCAGCAGGGTGAGAGACAGCTAGGACACAATCCTTATAAAGCGTCCCACGCATTAACCAAATATAACATCCCCAGTGGTGTCATTATTTTGTGCAGTCAGTCTCACATGATCCAATGTGGTTGTAGGTCCAGATGGAGGTGCGTACTCCTCTGGTGCAGTTCCTCCAGAGCAGAGAGCGCCTCCTGCAGTGAGAGAGGACAGGAGGCAGCCCGCTGCCCACGGTGCTGTTCCCGTCCGACAGCAACCTCCCCCAGCCGAGGAGGAGGAGGAGGCCAACGACTATGACTCTGATGAAGCCAGTGAGTACACCATCTGCTCACTCTTCTCACAGAGTAGCGTGGCTGATGTGTCAGTTTCATTTCACCTCATGTTCGGTTTGACATTGATGATTTCTTTCTGCTCGTTTCAGGTAAATACCACCAGATGAGGTGTTTTTCTTTTTGTTAATAAAGCAAAACATATTGCCATATAGCATAGAGTATTGGGCATTGATGTCCTTAATTTGGCTGCATTTCTGTTCCCCGTAGGGATTCCAAGTCATTCTGTGTTGATGCTTGACTTCTGTCTGGAAACAATTTGTATCTATAAATTGTTCAATAGTCACAGCGAACAGCAAGAATTGTTCTGGCAGCATCTATTGAGCTGGGTAGAAAATGACAAATGATAAGCACCATATGTTATCGAAGCATGAAAATCAATGTCCAAGGAACTAAATCAGAGGAAGATGTGTATCAGGACATGATTCACTAAATCAACAGTGATGTATAAGCTATGCAATCATACTTTTTTTTTTTTTTTTTAAATATCCCATATCCCATTTTAATGGTGAGAATGGTGCCATGTCATTCATGTTCTGCGCCTGCAGCGTCAATCGGCCTTTATTCTTTCTCTGGGGGATTGGGTGTTAATTTATTTTATTGAGGTCTGGGAATATGGAGCTGTACAAATAATTTGAGATGCACCGGGGCTAACAGGATATAGAGTCCCCTTGCGTTTGATCCAGTCCCCTGTGCTGGGAGTGAAAATGGCAGAAATCGCTATGGTTTTCATGTGGCTGCTGGAGCTGAGATGGTGGGAACAATTAAGGCCTTTGGTGCTGACTGGTTTCAGTAGCTCAGATGGTTATATCCTCTTCAGTTTTGTGGTGAATCTCAGACCAGAAAAGTTTAACAGTTATATAAGAAAAAATTAACAAATGTCATTTAATTATTTTGTCCCCCAACAGCTATGCTTGGCAATGAAACTCCTCCAAAGAAACTGTGTGGGCAGCACTTCAGTATATTTTTTTTCTTACCCAGATCCTTATTTTCTGAAGGCCTTCCTTTGAGATTTGGGTGTTTATTTGATTTCTTTTATACCACATGCCCTGGATTTGTAATGAGATTTTTTCAGACGTTTAGTTAAGGTAAATACAAGGCTACGAATGTGTCATGAGTGAAGGTGAAGACTTACTCGGAGACTTTATTGTCTGTCATTCCTGTCCACTCTGGGCTGGTACTTATTTTCACTTCTATTCACAAGTTGAGAGTTGTTTGATTACAAGAGCATCTTTCCCTTTGTATCCCTTGTGTCCCTTTTTATTTACACTTTTAATTATTCAAGAGCGGACCTGCTGTCTGCTCTCTGTGGTCTAATGTGATGACTGGTCTGGGTCTCTTTCAGCCACTCTGGGCTCTCTAGAGTTCAGTCTGCTCTATGAACAGGAAAGCAACAGCCTCCACTGTAGCATCCTCAAAGCAAAGGTACCACTACTCTCCTCATTCTCTCACACAAAGGGACAATTACAATCAAGTGGTTTATGTTAAAAAGCTCCTGAATGGCACTTTAGCTTAATTGTTGTGTGCTGTGTGCGACGATGTGATGGACACTGTGCTCTGTTTCTCCTCAGGGACTGAAGCCCATGGACTCAAATGGACTGGCAGATCCTTATGTCAAACTTCATCTGCTGCCAGGGGCTAGTAAGGTAAAAGACACACCTTTCTTACATTAAGCTTTTACTTCTTTTAAAAGATTTATTACCTTAATATCCTGCTAAGTCAAAAAGGAAGGGTGGTGATTTTAGACCCCACTGGGTGGTGAGAGATCGTTCTGGCAGCTCAAGCCTGACACCTTGTGGTTTGACTGAATAAAAGTCATAAAATTGACATAGGGATGATGTCTAGAAATAAAGTAAATAAAGTAAAAGTTGTAGTGAAGGTGCATTATTTGTGGAGTGTGATCATAGTGCAGAATGGGGCAGGCCTCAGCTGCAAAAGCTCCTTTTGATGGGAAGCAGCAACACGTAGATACTCACCGTGATTAAATAACAGAAACCACAGATATTGTGATGTCTTAGTGGTCTGTAGTGGTAACCCGCCATGAGATATTTCCATTTCCTTGTCCTGATCTATCCTACACCAAACAGTCTAACAAGTTGCGCACAAAGACCTTGAGAAATACCCGCAACCCTGTGTGGAGTGAGACGCTCACCTACCACGGCCTGACAGATGAGGACATGCAGCGTAAGACCCTCAGGTGGATAATGTTCATGTTTGACACTTAATATTACTTTAGTTGGCTTGTTTAAGGGTGTAACAGGTTAAGAATCTCTTTCGATTTCCACAGGCTCTCTGTCTGTGATGAAGACAAGTTCGGGCATAATGAGTTTATTGGGGAAACCCGAGTGGCGCTGAAGAAACTGAAGATGAACCAGAAGAAAAACTTTAACGTGTGTCTCGAGAGAGTTGTCCCAGTGAGTGAAACTGAATTACAGTCAAACAACGCTTTGTTCTCCTTGTCTGAATCGCTTATTGACCGGGTGTAATCTTGTTCCCCCTTCACAGACGAAGAGAACTGCAACAGCTGGGGCAGCCAGAGGCATCTCTCTCTACGAAGATGAGGTAATGCCTTTTTTATTTCCGAGTATGTTTAAACATGGCAGATTCCACCAAAGTAGACACAAAGCTTATCAAGAATACTAATGAACTTTTTTTTTTTTTTTTTTACCCCTCTGCTCTCTTAGTCAGCGAAAGATGGCGGAGACATAGAGGAGCGTGGTCGGATTCTGATCTCCCTCATGTACAACACCCAGCAGAACCGCCTAATTGTGGGCGTCGTGCGCTGCGTTCACCTGGCTGCCATGGATGCTAATGGCTACTCTGACCCATATGTCAAAATGTAGGTAAAGCAGGACGAGAAGTACATTCAGCTTGTCAGTGTATGACTCTTGAAATGGCATAAATTAACCTTTATATATATATATATATGTATATATAATTTACAGATGTCTGAAACCTGACATGGGGAAGAAGGGCAAGTGCAAAACACAAATCAAAAAGAGGACTTTAAACCCAGAGTTTAATGAGGTTTGTAAGAGAGTTCAAGGTGGAAGTTAGCTGCAGTTAATGAAAATGAGTTTATTATCCAGTCTCTGTGTTTGTATTTTTTGCAACTCAGGTTTGGAAAAATGTTGGAATTGATGAGTTAATGTCTCGATTCAAATTCCAGGAATTCAGCTATGACATCAAACACAGTGAATTGGCCAAGAAGACTTTAGATATCTCTGTGTGGGACTACGATATCGGGAAGTCCAATGACTACATTGGTAAATATTCGATCACCGTCACTGCTCTGATGCAATCAAAAATGAAATTCTCACCTGCTCCCCACCTGCCTCTCACACCTCACTTTCTTCCTGACAGGCGGGTGTCAGCTGGGTATCACTGCCAAAGGAGAGAGGCTGAAGCACTGGTACGAGTGTTTGAAGAACAAGGACAAGAAGATTGAGCGCTGGCATACCTTGATGAATGAGAATCACGTCGCTAGTGATTAACCACTTGTCCGCCCCAGTGCAGCATGAGCTACCCTCCCTACTTGGTTTGCATCCACCTCTGAGAGCACTTGTTTTCCCCCCTCATTCTGTTGTGTTTATCTATTCTCTCACGACTTGACCATCACACAGGCACTGCTCGCATCGCATCCTTCTCCCTGATGTAGTATATACTCTTCTTTCCTGTCTTCTTATTAACAATTTCTCTGCCTGTGCTGATACTTAATCTGCCTCTGGGACAAATCATGGCATAAATGAATTAGAGATTTCATTAATGTAACTAAGACATCTGTCAGTGAACAGCAGCATAAAGACCATCATGCCTGTCAGTGATGTTATATAGTGTGCTGAACTTGACACATTCTCCGCTAAAGGAAATAAAGTTTAAATTGCACTCGTACAGAACAAGAAAAGCAATATGTTGTGGTGGCTGAGGTCAAAACCAATTGTCAGGCTCATAAATGCCTCAGTTGAGCTCATGCCTGAAACTCATTAGACTGTCAGGTTATTATTTTTGAATGTTCATGTGATTACAACATGCTTAGTGTAACACTTGAACTGTATAAGCATGCCGAGCCACTGACATAAGAAAACACGCAGCTGCACCTTAAAATATTTCAACTGTGCCCACTGGCCTGCACATAGTGTATATTTCCATGAAGAAATGTTTACATACTGATACATTGCTCAGGTTAGGATAGACATCTGATAAACAGATGATTCATAAGTCAGTGGACCATGAGCTAAATGAACCTTTCATCAGTTGCTGTTAATTTGTTAATTAAAATTATAGCACACTAGTTAAACATTAGGAGTTTTTACGTATGGTTATTCAAGCTGTGAATTTTGCGTTGGTGGGAAGTATTAATTGCGTGATTAGAGGAACTGAAAAGTGAATGACAATGTTTATTTTTCATATTTATTTCTTAGTTGTGGTTAGACTTGGCAGGAAAAAGGATTCTCCTCCTGCTACCTGTTTTCTTCTGAAGCTCGCGGTTCACACCTCAGAGGTTTTCTACTGCAGTGTTTACACTGAACGCACACAGTAACGTTTCTTACAAGTTTCCTTAACAAATTTGGCTGCTTCACAATGAGAGAAGGTGGAAGAGGTTATGTCATAAGTATGTGCAGCTTTACCTGCATGCACTGTGCTCGTGACTCTAGTGTGCCTGGGGCAGTCTTGGCCCGCTTTTACATCAACGCACCCTTTGCACAAAGCAGGGCGCTTTCCCCTCTGCCACGTCCCAGTCATTCAAGGCTTTAGTGTGTGTTTGTTCACTAATCACAGCAAACCAAGGAAAGCACACCTTACAAAGTGGAATGACCTCAATTTATACAGCTGTTTGCAAGTTATTCCAATGTCAAAACAAAGATGAAAACAAAAAAACCTATGCATGAAATGTCTTGTGGTTCAAGATATATATACTTTGTAAGAAATTAATGCTATTGTAATTTCATTAATGTTTACACTTCTTCCCCATAACATTCCTGTTGATACTTTAAACACAAGAGGCCATATGCTGCATGACTATGATGACTGTCGGTGTAATCTGAATAAGCTGGTCTGATAGCATCCACAGGATAAACTTATAATAAATTGAGCACATCAACAAAGTGTCAGACTTTATCCAACTCTATCAGTAGCAGACATTGAGATTATTCTCATTCTTTGAATGAAACCTTCTGTACATTCACATTCAAATCTCTCCAGTGTCCTGTTTCCTCTGTACAGCCACTCTGCCCCCCTGTGGCAGGGATTGAAACAACCACCATTACAGCATTACAGGCTGTCCTATGTTGTGCTACTTCAGCTACAGTGATCATCAGATGATGATCGACATGAATTATAACCAATATAGATATATATTATTTTTTAAAAAACACAAGCTTCTATCTGAGCTAAACCTATAGCCGTCTTCTACTTGATTCTGCCCCTTTCAGTGGAATGTTTCTTGGTTTATCTCTGTATTTGTAAATAGATAGTGCATGCACTGGAATTATGTATGTTTGCAAATAACTTTGCATGTAAAGATTTTGCAAAGAGTTTACACAGATCAATAAAATCTAATGAAAAATGACATGTCCCCTGTGTGTAATCAGTGAAGATGGAAGCAGAAGAAAAGGGAGCAGCATATCCTGGGGAGCATTTGGCTAGTAAATTAGACTGTGGCAATTAAATGAACAAAAACAGCACATCTTTTTAAAATCATATTTATAGCCACAATAATTCAATCCATACAACTAGGCTATACGTTTGTCTTTTTATTCAGCACCAGCTGTAAACTCCTGCAGGTTAGGACAGCTCTGCATCTTTCCTCCAAAATCTTAGTGGCAATACAAATAATGTCTTTAGGTTATAGGGTGATTCAGTTCTAAGTATAAGCCGAAACTGTCTGGGAACACAAATGCACACTAACTAAAACAGTGAGGTGTGTCATATTCCCACAGCAGACCAATAAGAAGGCCCTCTCAACAAACAGTCCGGGAGGCACACATGACTCTCAAACAGAGACAGACACCTTAAAACCGGCAGGTGCAGAGCTACACTGATGCTGCAGCAAATGCGGAATAATTCCTCCTTTCAGACATTGATTAAACCCTTCAAACAGGATTGGCTATACACCAATTTCACATTGAAATGCAAAGCAGAGTCCTACAGCAAGTTATTTTCTCCTTATCATGGCTCATTTTATCAAAAGCACAAGATGTGATCGGATCTGGTCTCTCCTGTCTCAGATACAGTCCTGCAGATGCTGACGGACAGACGCGCATCACTTTTCTGCGGGAGGACGCAGCCGGTGTGCGCTCCTTCTACCTCACCCTGTGGTCCGAAGACATGCGCCTGCTAACATGCGAAGTAACCAGCAGTCCACTGGCCACTGAGCGTTACCGCACTCTCTGCGACAGAAGCGGCACTCAGAGTCAAGAAATAACCCGGCGGTTGAATATCAGTGTGTTGTCGGCTCCGGATGCTCCTTGCGCGCTCGTCTCCTCCAGTGCGCCAAAGTTTCCCAGGCGCACAAGAAGAGATGGGACAGAGGGCAAAGCTCGGCGGAAACGCGCCTGGATATTGCCAGGAACTCTGTGGTGCGGCAAGGGAAACGAAGCGGTCAGATACGAGCAGTTGGGTGAGTGGGGGATGTTGATTTCATTACTTTTTGTGCCCTACATGTCTGTTCGGTAGACAAATATTATAGGCCAGGGAAGACATGGATGGAATGGTTAATGGATAGAAACATGTGAGTCACTTCCATAGGGTAGGCTCATTATTAGCTAACACCCTGGACCTTCTGGAAGAATGTAAAATACAGGAATTTGCTGTTTGCTCCCCCAAAAAACATCATCACCTCTCAGCAAGTCCTAGACATACTCTTTATTAATATCATAGAAGATAAAATTCAGTAGTGCAGTAGTATTTGTTATAAGCAAAAGCTACATTAATGTAACAGAAGTTTCTGTTAGTTTATGTGACAATGTCAACAGTGTAATCCTGTTAAATGCACTGTATTACTGTTATATTTCCCAGGTGAAATTGCTTATAATGGTATTTTACAGTATTACTGCTTGGAGGAAAGAAAACAGTAGTCTTCACCATTTTTGCAATGCATTTCGGGAAAACAAAGAGCCAAGTTTGACTGGACCAAACTGAACAGCTGAGTTAGATTTTTTCACCCATCTTCATCCTGCAAATGAATAGGTGAGTGCCTTTTTACTTTATTTGTTAGCTTTGGCAAAATACATCACATTTTCAATTAAGGTATGTTGTGTAGTCGAATACTATCAAACAACACAAGCTATTTTACTTGTAATGTTTGATATAAAGCCTGAGATCTTCCCCTGATTTGAACTCTTCATTTTATGTTTAGGATTCTTTCGCTTAAACGAATTATATTCAGAGTGAATGCATTGGACTTGAATTAAGTTTTAATTCATTTTTGAGATTAGAGTCTGAGCTGACACAAACACCTTTACACAAGCGGTTGAAAGGTATTTTGTCAGCTAAAGTTAGCTAGCACAGAACTGTACAGCTGCTAAGCGGCGGAAACGCGGGAAAGGGTTTGTGATACCGGGAAGGTAACTTGTTTATCACCAGTTTCAGTTTCACTGTGTGTCAGAGTTGAGCTGGACTCTGATTCTTATCCTCTAAATTACAGGATGAGTTTCATCTTAACCTTCCTTTGTGTTTGCATCTGCTAAGTGCACTCCTGGAGAGGACACTGCTGATTTACTTTACAGGGAGCTTGTTTACTAATGTTAGCTAGCTAGCTAAACTGACATCACTTGTCACTTAAACTATTATGAACAGAGCCGACATAAGGTGGCTGTTCAACATGGTTTAACTCTGCATTACACCACCTTATAATGTACATAACAAAAAGAACAGGGCTCATCTGTGAATGGGTAATTCATTCAATTCATTTTTCCTGACACTGCATTCTTTGCAGTGTGGTAATGTCAATGTTGAAATGGGTTTTTCTTTGTCAGGTTTCAGGTGAAACATCAGGAAGCTGTATTCACCACTGGATGATCAGCACTGAGGGGCACATCATTTGTGAGGCCACCCAGCAACCCTTTGTTGACCAGACCTGCTGCCGTTTTTTCCACTTACTACTCCTCAAAACTTCAATATCAAGAATTCATTTGAAGGTTAGATGCTTACTTCCTTCAGCTGGTATTGTGTGCTCACAGCAGGTCACATTCAGGCTGCCTAAAACATTTGATTACTAGAGCATGTTACGGAAGCTTTTCTGACAGAAATCAAGGATTTAAAAATACCATCACTTTCTTTGCTCCATGTTTTTGGCGAAATCATTGAATTTCAGTACTGTGCGGATTTACAGGTGACAATATGTAACTCATAAAAAGATGATAAAAATGGAACAGCACCTACAGATAAGGTAGTGCTGTGATTTGTATTATTATCTTAGTGAGTACAGTTTATTTTTTCCCACAAACTCTGAACACTGATGCTTGTTTTTGAGGCAGTTTATCGAGATAAAGTTTGAGAGAGGCATCAAGGCTGGACTGGGCAAAGTCCTGTTAAAACATACGGAGAAGGTCACCCAGAAAATTATTACATCAGTCAACCCTCATGTCTCCAGTCTACTAAAGAAATTAAGGACTTTGGGACTTTACATAGTGAACACAGCCATTTACACAAACACGCACTCAAACACTACACACGTGGTCTCTTTGCCACACTGTTGTTTCAGTTACTCAGTAAGTCATTCTTGATCACTCATTCAGTCAGTCACACTCTCTAAGTCAACAGTGTTAATCACTGATTCACCACTCTGTAACTTGATGATATTTGATCTTTTTTTTCTTTTTTTTGTTTATTTGCATTTAATGTTCATGCAGACCACAATACTTGTAAAAATATTTCGTATTAAAATGATGACATTTTTGTTTATTTGCTCTAAATGTTCCTTATGTTACGTTTTGTTTTTTGCCAAAGAAAGCTTTTCAAAACTTTTTCACAAGCTTAATAAAGAGAAACATTATTTGAAAAGACACTTTGAAGCTGTATTATTTGTCTTAAAATTTTAAGTTACAATTTTTAAAAGCTACATTTATTCAAGGTATTCAATGTATATGAGTGCCAAGGAGTGATTCATCGAGTTTAGGAAAGAAAATATCACAGTAGTTCTTTTTGCTAGAAGTTAATTAATCAATACCTTAGTAGTAGAAATCTGCCTGTGAAAAAAGTGCTAATAAACAGTAATAAACTGCTAATCCTTCATCAATATTTTACTGTAAAAGTAGAAAATAACACATTTTTGTTTGTATTTAAAAAAACAGCGAACTGTAAATTTAAGCAACAGAAAGACACTGTTTACAGTAACATCATGGCAACCCTGCTTCCAGGTCTTAACCATTTTTTAATCGAGAAATCTTTAACAGTGTGAACTCCCCATAAGAATATTATGACTGGCATTTTAAAAAATAAAACACCAGATATTTTAGAGTGATTCAATATACAAAGAATAATTTTATTGAATTTAATTAAGCTGAACTGAACTGTTTTGTTGTAATGTTGATGTTGAAAGCATGCCACAAAGTGTGTATTTAATTAAAATGCAGCATTTTTGGGACACTTTCACGGGTGCAGTTATTGTACAGAATTCAAGAGAAATGAGAATGGAGGTTGATTTACATCATAAGAAAAATAATTAGAAAGTCTGCAGAGTAATTATATGGCAGTCGCGTCAAACAAAAATGTGCCTCAGTAGGTTTTTTTTTAATTGAAGGTCTTGATTTTACAACCCATACATCTTTCATTTTCAAATAGGCTAACTGTCTTTGAAGCATTTTGGTTTTAAATCAGCTAAAAAATCTATCTCTGCTTGCAGCTTTCTTTGATACCAAAAATCCTTTGATATTTGACTGAATTCACGTCTTGCTCTCGTGCATAGGAATGTTTGAAGATGCAGATAGATGCTGTCGTGAGCACGACCACTGCTTGCATATCATCCCTGCTTTCACAGTGAATTATGGAGTCTTCAACCCCAACCTCTACACCGTCTCACACTGTGACTGTGACCAAAGGTGAGCATCATAATGCCCACCCCTGGCATCTAATACTGAGTCAGGATATTTAAGTTTTTCTTGCCTCAAGGGAAACTCCTGCAACTTGTAAATCACATCCCCCCCTGACCTATCCCCATAACGCTCTGGCTGTCATGGTCAGTCAAGTGAGGACAGACCTGCTCGAAGGCTGAATTTATAGGTGTTGTAGTAGTTGGTGCATTTTATACCTTGCACTTCTTACTAATAAAAGTGTGGTTCTCCTGTGAGTATTTTGTCACTATAAAGCTATTTAAGAAGGAGAACCTGGGGCCATATGATATTACCATTCATTCAGGATTAATAAATATATCACTGCAATCAGCCCTTCAGGTAAACTATTTATGTCAAGACTGAACACGGTGCTTGCTGTTTTTGTGATAGCATTCCATTCCTCCTTCACAATCTATTATTTAAACCTGCAGAGACGTTTGTTTTCTTCTCACTTCACATCTAGTGCTGACAGGTGCATGTGTATTACATTTTCCCTCTAACTCTTAGTGCTCATCCACAAGTACCTGACACATTTTAAGAATTCACCCCGCACCTAAAATGTTATCTCTTGCTATAAACTTTTTGGACTTTGTAGAAGATATAGACAAAATGGTGTAGCATTTATGGATATTTACCCACCATGCATGTGTTAATTTTACATTTACATTTTATTATTTTGCAGATGCTTTTATCCAAAGCAACTTACAAGTGAGGGCCATCACTAAAGCTTCATTTTCACTGGACTCTTTGACCTTTGCTTTTTCTTTTTCCGCCTTTCTCAAGGTTTCGACAGTGTCTTCAGAATGTGAATGATACCGTTTCCTCGATGGTGGGCTATAGCTTTTTCAACATCCTGCGGGTTCCCTGCTTCGAGCTCAAAAATCAGAGGCGTTGCACCCAGATGTACTGGTGGGGAATGTAAGAGAAACACACTGCATTCACTTTAACTGCATATTGTTAGACACAATTGTGAGTGTTCAATGGAAAATGACGGCATGGTCACATGTGGTGTAGGAGCAGCAGATGTACCTCTGCAGCTTGTAGTAACATGTCTGATTAACTGCCAAACCTCATAAAATCATGAAGGTGTGCTGTGCCAGTCCTCTGCTCTGTTTTCATAACTTAATCTATCAGGTTACTAACAAACAAGAATTATTAACCTTTTTTGAGCATTAATGGCATTACATTGAAATTACGAGTGTTTGAAATTACAGATCATATCCCAAACAAGTATACCTGTTCTTAATCAAATAAATATGCAAATTTGGTTTGTATAAGTTTAAAATACAACAGATGCATTTGAAAAAGGGTTTTTTTTTCTGTGGTTTGGTTTTAACATCCATGTTTACTCTCTACAGGTGCAAAGTAGCCAAACAGGCTCCATATGCCGTCTTCAAAAATCCCCTCCCATACAACACCTCTGATGTTGCAAACAAATACTTGAACAACACTAGAAGCAACAAGTTAACAAGCGAGGTAACAAAAAGCCATGTGATCGGCCCATGCAGAAAGTCACAAAAAAGTGAACCTAGATGTGGCTCCAGAGACCCGCCCAGACAAGACACTTTCTACCGCAGAGGGACAAAGGGGAAAGGATGTAAAACACACTGTAAACTGTCTACAGTCGCACCCCCCCAAATGCCCCCATTGGCACACACCACTACTCCTTCAATGATAACAGGTCTTTTAAATCCTTCTAAAAGTAAGGCATCAATGTCAAATAAAAAAAATGTTGGAAAAGAGAAGCGCACCAGAAAGGGCCTGTTGGCTTACCCTACACAGAGAAGCCAAGTTCCACCACAGGTGACTATAAACTCTTATCCACAACCATCATCTACAACACAAAGCATGCCACCTTTAACACAGAGCCCAAATCACTCCACAGCCATCACAACAGCGACCAAAACCAGAAAAAGTCACAGAAAAGCTCCAAAGCAAAGTGGCTGTTGTGGATCTAGGATGCCTGTGAGGGGGTTTTCGCCTCGTTGTAAAAGTTGTCTGGAACAAGCAACAAGATCTCACTTGACAATTGTTAGAGCTGCAACAACTACAAATGGACTGCTAGTCAAAGTGACAACGGAAACATCCGGACAAGACACTTTGAAGAGACTCTGGAATACAGCTACATTTGCAACACCCATGACAACAAAACTAAAGACAGCAGCCTCTCTTCATGAGGATGGCAAGCCACAAAAGCAAATTGACTCGCGTCTACTAGAAAATAAGACAGGCCAGGAGCCCATGGGTAGTACCATAGCCCAAAGTACGAAGGAAGAAAGAATCTTAAAACAAAGTAATGCATTGCGTAATATGACAGGTGAGTGCATGCAGTGCCCCATCACTTCTCCTGGGGCCTTTTGCAGCATAACAGGCTCCTGCTCACAGCACCAGGCATATTACGAGTAATTATAATGATGCCAGAGATCTTCAATATAACTTATTTAAATTGAATGTTGACCACCCATTAAGCACTCAGTGCCAGTAAAATCAGTTAGAGTCATCTGTCACACTGGCTGGTAACATTATAAGATGATAACTCTCGAATCTGTCAAAATTAAAATGATCACTTGAATTTTGCATTTAATGACAAACTGTAAGACTTGTATTATTGAATTACCTATAATATGAATTATCACTAACACCAACCCTAAATGTTTTGTAAGTGAGTGAGCATGTTTTAAATTGATGATAGAAAAATTAGTAGCGTAAAATGTCACTGTTGTACCTATTTATTTATTACATTAATTATGGTGGGTAATGCTGCTATTATGTTAAGGCCCTACATAAGAATTCCAGTGTGATTATTGTATTTAAAAAGGTGGTCCAGGTATGGGTCCAGGGCAGTATGTTTTTATGGAGCCAGAGCTACCACGCCCCCTACAGGTGGGAGAGAATGCTAATTTTCACCACTGATTGATAGCTTAGGTAAATTGTATCATAACCTGTGTTTCTTTTTGCTCCTGCAGACAATCAGCTCCTGTGTGGAAGCTTCAAACATCTGGATGAATGTAAATATCAAATCCCTCCTCTGCAGAAGAAATATGATCTGCAGAATATGGAGTCAAAGACTGCCTACCACTGTGGTTGCACCAGCCGGTAACATAACAGCATTTTTCCCCATATTTATATAGATGCAACAATGCAAGAGTCTTAAAGATGAAAAATATAATTTCTTCCTTGAATTTATAATCACTGAAATATATGTCAGGGGCATGTATTCTCCTGGATAACTGGATAACTGGAAAACTGCACTGAGTAAAGCCTGGCCTTTTTCTTCAATCCATGTTTTAGATTTAAGGGGGCTCTGACTGTTCCTCAGCAAAATTATCCTTACAGCTTTGTGATCCCACTCCATTAGACAGGCCCCTGATCTACTCCTGTGTTTACCGCTGTAGAACAGGGGTAGATATAAACAAATGAATATTGCAAACGCTTGACAGTGTCAGAGCATTGAATGAAAATCCTACTTCACAGCTTGGGACATCATGCTTTGTGTTTTCTTGTGTATTTTGGCCACAATATTAATAGTTCAGCATAACATGACTGTAACCCCTGGAAGCTAGAGCTTTACAACATAGTTTATTGAAGCCAAGGAACTGAAAGCCTTACACAACTGTTGAACCAAACTAAAAGCTACTATCCCAACAAGCCATTATGACTGTATTATGCATTCCTGAGCTACTTCCATGTTCCACCTGCAGTTTGCAGTGAGATGAACTAAACAGGGCAACTTTGAGCAAAATTAGAAGTCATGTAAAACTGAGCTGTAATATGCATATCTGCCAAAACTAAAAACTAAAAAAAAAGAAAAAAAAAGGATTATTCTTAGATTTACTTGTTGTCTAGTTGCACCCATCAGAAGACCTGTCAAAGACTTTTTTCACAGCAAACACTTTGGCAGGTCTTAGCAGGAAAACTGCTGCAGGTGGAACCAATAATGTTAACGATGGCTGCATTCCATTAAGGTTTACCAGGTGCAGGGTTTTGCCATAAACCCTTTTTTTTTTTACATCAGACATTTTGACACAGGTTTAACTAATAACATTAATGATAGCTCAGTTCTGTTCAACTGTCCCTTTAAACTATGACAGTGTTACAGTGACACAGCTAAATGGAATTCAGCCATCCATAATCTTATTATTTTCACTTGTGGCTTTCTTGCTGTAACATGTCGAAATGTTTTCCTTGAAAAAAGGTCTACAGTGCATACAGACTCACTGTCACATTTAATGGAGAGCTGTCATTACTGTTACTGACTGACTAGTCAACATGTCTGCCATGGAAAAATCTTTTTGGAAGTGATAGCAGGTTACAACCCTATGTTTTAAATATTTTTATTTACAATTGACGGATATCATTTGATCTGATGGATCATGCCAGCTACTACTGTATGTAACGTTTGTACTTAGGGCTACAGCAGCGCATGTATGGTAAGACTATTATTCCTCATTCCTATCTACAGTATGTTATAAACAATGAGGAAGGCCTGCCCCCTCAGGCAGCTTTCTCCTTCTTTGTCTGTGTCTCTCTCTCTCTGAGTCACACACTCAAATGCATATCCCGCTATATTGTTTAATTCCTGCCTTGTTTCTCTCTTTATTTCTGTATGTGTGGTTGTAAATGACCACTGTTTGTCTTTTTGTCAATTTTACAGCTTGGCTGTTCAGATCAAAAGCTTCAAGCAGCCCAGTGTTCTCCCCACGCTAGTGATGGATTTTGTCTCCTACTACTGCTTTAGAATGCCGAAGGAGAAAAAGTGCCATCGCAGAAAAAGGTTTTAAGTTCAGATGTGCTTATTCATATTTGTCTCAGAAAACAGTCTCCGGTCTAATGGCTTAACTCAGTTTTCCTCTATATAAAAGATTATTAGGTTGGGTTCTGTTTCTGATATTTTTTGTATGTTTCTTTTCTAGCTGTTCTTGGGGCTTCATTAAAGCCTCTGACCTACTTCGAGCACTAAAGAAGATAGAGGAAAAAGACACAGCTGGGGTGCGAAATTCAGGAAATGACAGAAAAAGAGGGATTCCTGTTCGACTTTATAAGCGATGCCTAAGGCTGGAAAGAGAAGCTGATATTATGGCACAGCTCACATGATTACAGACTAAGCTGCCATGTGCAGCAACAATGACTTTTATCAGCTTTAAATTTCATGCGGCATTTTCTGTTTCTCTCTGATGGTATAAAATGGCAGTGCAATGAAAATACTCAAGGACTCAAACCCTTCAATCTGGTAATATTTTTGTAAGTATGTCATGGATGTGAATTTAATATATTTATAAAGAACTGTTATACAAAACTGAAAACCATCCAATTGTTCAATTGTGCTTTGAAAATGTAATACACTCATTTATTTTGTTTGAAAATCATGTGTTGAGGCCATTTTGCAAACACATTCCATTATTTGCACTACATATTAATTTAGTCAGGAAAAATTATTAGACATACACCTCAATGCATTAAAAAACAACTCACAACCTTCCAGTAATCATAACCCTAAATGAGAAAAGTTACACAACAAATTCTTGGTTTACCTTTTAGCTATTGAAATGATTATCATTTATTAGCTTTAGTGTAGTGTGATCTATCCCTACCCTTCATAATATATCATACAAAATTACATATCTTACTACATGTAAATAAAACATCCCTGATCCAAAAACCTTTTGTGAGGGATACAACATGTTCAATGTGCACCTCATCTGTCCTTTCATAAACTCCAATGACTTACAATGTATTGCATCAGTGTTTCTTTGACATGTTATTTCCAAGGTAAGAGAGATGGAAACTGGCTACATCAGTTGTTTGAAACAGATTCAAATATCTATTCCTCTTCAACTAGACAATTGTCAGGTTTGCACCTCCCCAGAAACACCACCATAGCCAAGTAGGCTTCATACAGGCCATAAATGTGACCTCAAGATTTTGTTGCTATGTTGCATTTAATAAATTTGTGTATTTTACATGACATGAAGGACTATGTAAAATCACACAATTAAATGTCAGGGGTAACACAATTAGGCAACAGGACTTATTTCCATTGTGGTCTATGGATCTGATGTACAGTAAAGACAGCAAATATGCGGGTGACGACCAAACCCTGAACTTTGTTATTATATTGTACAATATAATCTTTGAACTACATGATAGTTATCTTTTTCTTCTTATTATTATTATTATAGTAATGTGTTGTTCTGTTAGACACCAGAATGAACTCATGAATTTTTGACAGCTTTTATTCTGGCCCGCGGTGCATGCTGGGAGCAGCTAGTTGGCCTTGGAAACATGGCGTCGCACTGACAGCTGGGAGACTTTCATTATCTTCTCCAGCCACTGACACAGCGGCTGGGCCGTCAGCGGAGCCGCCTGCCTCCAGGTTTTAACTGTGAAATGAGCTTACTACAGATGAAGTCTTCGTCCTGAAAACCCTGTTGTTTTAACGGTACGGTGCGATAACAGATTTTGTAGGGGTGTCACGCCCACTCTGCTCGGTAACGTTATAACGATACCGTACTGTAAGTTAGCTCCGCTTCCAGCTAACCGAGCCAGACAGACAGCTAGCAGCCGCTGTTAGCACGACACGAGCACGGATGTTATGTGAAGAGGAGCTGCCGCTGCTGCCTGCTCACTGCTCGGCTGTCGTTTTTTAGCGCGCTCCCTAGCACTACAGTCTGCCCCGTCAAACACCATCATCAGATAACACGGAGACGGTAACGGCTGTTATGTTATTGTAGCTCGCTAGCAGGCTAGCTAGGGCGTTTCTGTCAATCTGTCACTGAATTTTTAATGTTCGACCCCTTTGGCATCACTGTCGGAGGAGAGAGCGATGGGCTCCGGGGCTGTGGATTCGTCCCAGTGGCTTTCGGTGAAGGAGGAAACAATTTTCCTCCACGACGGACTCATTCGGGTCACAGATCTGGCCGAACTGCCCAGTGAAATTGGAGTGTCGGAGCAGGGGGACACCGAGCAGGAGGTGGGTGAAAACCATCTCGGACACACACACTCACACACATACACACAAAGGTTTATATATAGAAACACACGCACATTACTATGATCATGTTGTCTTTTTTTGTCTTTTAATGTAAAAATGTTTTCACTGTCTGCTGTAACACACCCTCAGTGATAACGGTAGCGCTAACGTTTGCAAGTTTCCTGCCCTGCTTGTTATTGACCAACAATTTCAGTTCATGGTCACTTCATGTCCGGGTACTTCCTTCAAAATAGAAGTCAAAATAAATTATGCCACTCAATCGGCTACAATCGAATGACAAATGCAGAATTGTGTAATGTTAAAATCTCTAAAAGTTTATATGGTCAAACACTGTTTCAGTTAATGGCACGTTCAAGTAATGTTATGTGTAATTTGAAATCAATTATAGTATTCAAATAACTCGATTCGAATATGAGGTGGCGCATACACTTGCATGCTATCCCTCTACCTCAGGTGTCAAGTTGCACTCCTTCAACTTTATTAGTAGTGCCAGGGCAGCAGCTTCTCCATGCAGGCGACTCCTCAAATTGCATCAAAGTGTAAACATTCCTTTGGGTGCTCAAGTAGAAGTGTGGAGACCAGTATTTTATGTAACTAGATGAAGGCTTGTGTAGCTATTAATCCAAAGATGAGTGATAACTGAAGATGACATGGCTCCTGTGGTTTATGAGCTGTGGAACTGCAGGGACACCACTTAATGTCAAATGTTTTACAATCATTGTCAAGTGTAGAACACTCAGCTAATAGCTGCCATCTCTCATGACCTGTATTTTCTTCTCTAAACTCAAAAAAGCAACGTTTTATCTAGTGCTGCTGAGTGTATAACACTGGGTATAAACTGTACATGGTGTGTATGGGGTCACGTATACAGTATCTTAAAATAGTTGTATAGCCAGCCATTTTCCCATATTTACTGTTATGTTTATCAAGTAGCCCCTAATTTAGACTTTGTGAGCCCAAATTAAAGTTATGTGCGTGACAGAGGTTATTTTAACTTCAGTGTTCAGGTTTAATGTACATAATGTGCATTTAATGTTTTTTGTCTGGGATACAGGCCTTTTATTTTGAAGGCAACATCTCGAACCCGGAAGTATCTAAATTGTTAAGTTGTGGATACTTTACACTAATGCTGATAGAAACTTCAAGCTATCAATTTATATTAACATCCTCTATATTTCCTTGCGCTGCCATGAAAAAAAATAAAAATAAAATAAAGCCAGTGGTATCCATTAGTCTGTAGAGTTAATTTGCCGCAGTACTCATGTCACATGTTTATGAGCTGGTGTCTAATGTCTGGTCGGTGGTAGATGACGATGAATGTTGGACTGTGACTCACAGTGATGTTTAACTACGTAAACTAATTTAGCCATAATATTGGTAGTGCCTTTATCTAATTGTTGCTATTAACATTGACATTTTAACCAATTTTTATGAAATATCATGTATAGCTAATCCAACATGCTGTGAATTGAGTCTCATGTATTTAACTATAACTTTACATGAGTTCACAGCTGCAATCAATTGTTCCCATTTCAGGATTTTTACCTGATGACATTTTATAGGAAAAAAAAACAACACTAAATTTGTTAATAAAAAGTTTTTGCATCTGTTGAATTTTAACAAAAGCGGAAGCTTGCAAGTATGGCTTTTCAAAAACATTTTTATTTGGTCCACATATAGCACTAAATAAAAACATTCAAAATAAATTGGGGTTCATCTTAAAATTCTGAAGAAATTAATGTTAATGTGCTAATATTCCAATACATGTTTTTTTTTTTAGAGTGTGTTATAACAGTGGTCAACCTCAGCTGTATGATGAGAAGTGGCATGTTGGCACAGTTCCATATTTCATAGTGGAGAATTTTTTTTTTTTTTTTTTTTTTTTACTACACAGGAGCTATGCTGAGAGTGGTGTAAGGCTTTTGTGCTCATCAACAGACACTGTCTGCTTGATTTAGTTTTTACAATGTACAGTGTGGTGCATTCAGCTGTGTGTACTACAACATAACCTTATTTGTTCTAACCTCTCCACCGACTATCTAACTGGTCCTATAAATTACCAGTTTGTTAGCTGCCTTTCTTCACAATACCACATTATATTTGCTACTAGTATTATATTCGTACCAGAAAAACAGCAGCTGCAGATGGCTCCTTTGCTGTTCAGTCATCAGCCACATGCTGTTTATTATGGCTGATGTAAGTACATATGTTCTATCGGCAGCTCTGACAGATGACAAACCATTAGTTCATTAATGAATGTGAATGAGCAGGTTTGAACTTGACCCCTCTCCCTTTGTTTTGTCAGTTTGTTAAGCTCAACAGCAAAGCTGCAGTGACCAGACACAGCTTCTGAAATTGTGTTTTTTGTTTAAGCTGAATTAGAACAAGAAGAAACACTGTGGACATGCTGGTGAAGGCACAATAACTGACAGCTGGTCTTTTAACTTGGGGAAATGCACAAGATATTGTTAAGCGCACCACTGTGTAGTTTAGCAGCATGTGTGAATTGAAGGCTGTTTTGTGTTCTTACACTAATCTTTGCCCTGGTACCTTTTTAAAGAATTGTAACAGCGCCAACCACAGTGACCTACAACAAGGCGCACAACATTGTTGTGACAAACAGACATTTTATATAATCAAATTCTGCAACTTCTGTATATATCATGAATTTGGGGCATACAGTATTGAATGTAAAGTATAGTTACATTATCCGCGTGATAATGTCTCAGGGATCCCAAGGATAATAAAATAAAAGTGGCAACATGTATGGGGGAGAGACTCATAAGAGTGACATTTTAATTAAAGCTTTTTAGAAATGGGTAGGTGCAAATAGAAGTAAAGCAGCCGTGTCTGTTGGTGTCAACCCTCCTGCGTATGGCAGGTAGTAGCTCATACCAAAACATAGCCCCCCCCCCCCAAAAAAAAGAAAATCCTTGCACCATTTGTTGTTAGTCCTCAGTCTGTCTTCTTATTCCAGGTTATATTCTGATATTCTACATCTCTGTGTCCAGCGTTAAGACTGACTGGGTCATTCAGTGCCGTTTTCGTAGGTGTTGTGATGCTGACTATTTTTATCCACTTGCAGCAGTGTTTTGCAGAGCAAGGTGGAGAAGGCCCAGCATCCAGTTAAAGAGTGTTACTGTAACATTAGTAGCGTTTCTGAAATTGAATCAATACAAATTGTGCCTGCTAAATGGTATAATGGATTTTTTTTCTAGCCCATGGTCTGTGGGC